TCATACCTTACAAATCCCCTTTTCTCCCCAAAATGAGAAGAGTGAATATGATGTAATCCCATGACAGTTAGAAGGCCCCATGTACACACTTTTCCTCTTATGACCCACAGAAATACTATCAGGATTATTCACACTCACTTTCTGGTGGTGTCACATCATTAGTTAAAATATTAACACATGTCTAAGCTATTAGTTTTCAAAGTGTGCTTGGCAAAATGGTACTCTCAACTTTGGTGTTAAGACAGGCATTGGTGGTGCATGCCTTTAATCCCAGCACTCAGGAAGCAGAGGCAGAGGATCTCTGTGAGTTTGAGGCCAGCCTGGTCTCCAGAACGAGTGCCAGGATAGGCTCCAAAGCTACACAGAGAAACCCTGTCTCGAAAAACCAAAAAAACAAAAAACAACAAAAAAAAAACCAACTTTGGTGTCTCATAAGATTCTCTGGAAAATAAGGGAAGAGGAGAAATAAAAAGGAAGCAAGGGTATATAGTCTTCTCTCCCTGGATTTACATTCCCTCCAAATTCACCAAGCCCTTTAAGGATATGAGACTTCTGGGTGTCTATGCTCTAGCACTGTCATCACCCCACTCCATGTATAGAGGTGGAAAGAACACAAAATTGTTTTGTTTTTAATCCTCCATGGATGTAGGAATTGTATTTTACATTGCTTTTTGCTTACTTGTTTCCCAATAAATATGTGTTCCACTCTTTTCCCAAGGTAAAAGCAAAGGAATGAACAAAAGTCCATCTAATCAAAAATTCTATTTTTACAAATGGGATGAAAACAATGGATCTTACCTTCTCTGACTTTGGTGCCTCCAAGGACTATCGCTGATATGCCAACCGATGAAGACAAGAGCCAAATACAGATGTTGATAACCTTTGCTTTCAAAGGTGTGCGGAAATCCAAAGCTTTCACGGGGTGACACACAGCAATATAGCGGTCCACACTCATCATGGTCAAGGTGAATATGCTGGTAAACATGTTGTAGTAGTCTATGGAAATGACAATTTTGCACAGAACATCTCCAAAAGGCCAAGAATTCATCAAGTAGACAGCACTCTGAAAGGGCATGGTGGTAGTAACCAAGGCATCTGCCAAGGCCAGGTTAAATATGTAGATGTTGGTTGCTGTCTTCATCTTCGTGTATCTAAATGATAAGAAACAATAGCAATTCCTTGAACTTAAACCCAGAGGGTGAATGTGAGTGGCAGTCACTGACTTATTAATTTTGCTGCACGTTTATATGTTCCTTTTGCATTCATGGCCAAGTGCAGATTTTAAAAGAGACTCAGACTTCAATAAGGTTTTGTCTTAGTGCTTTGCTCAAAACATTTAAATAAAAAAGAGAATGAAGGATGTATAGATCAATAAGTACATGACTACACAGACAGACTAGGATTCATAAAGGTCTTCATGTCATAGGTGATTATTCGTTTTAATCCTTCACAGAGATCTTACCTTAAGTATTTTTGTAATATTCTCCTTTGCTTATCATAAAACAAATACAAAACTTTTTCCCTTTGTGGTTATTTTGAGAAATCAGTCACTAATTATTTAACCATTTGAAAGTACAAAATGGTGTTCAGTTTTAAATTATATCCAGCTGTAGAAGTCAAAGCACAATTAGACTCATTGATTTCTGCTTGCCAACATGCTACCAACTTATCATTTAAGTGTATTAAATTTTTTTATTTTTGATACAGCAACATCACAGTAAATAAAAATAAATTCTGTTTTTCTCTATCCCAGTCTTGGGCAGTTTATTAAAGCATACAATTGTCTCATTTTTCAGTCAAAGGGACAGTAATGTTCAAGTTGGGTCAGCAAGATTGGTTGGAAGCTGAAATCATTCTCTGTACTCCAACAGGAAGTACAGAGCAACACCATTCTCACTCAAATCTGAATCAACAATCAAAGAATTGTTAGTTGAAGAATTGCTTACTCTGGAATCTATTGAGCAGTAAATATCCATAGGGCTTCACCACTCTGCAGCCAAGACGGAAAAGCTATGTGTTAATTCCTTCCTGTGAACCTGAGAATTGCAAACCTTATCACAACAAATGCATCCCTATACTCCTAGAGACATACATTTCCTCATGAAAAATATGTCAGTGATATTGGAGTGATGGAATGGTGTTGCCAAGTATGAAGTCATAGTCCTGATTCTAAACCTCATAAGTCAGTTTCTGATACACAACGACAGTAAGCTAGGAGCCCAACAGAGAAGCCACTCCAGAGTCTAGCTCAACACATCTGGCAGGGAGGATGCATTCCATTCTCAGTACCCACCGCCTTTGATCTCCCCTTTCTCTTCTTGTGAGAACCAATATATGCTATCAGGTGGGTGGGAGGGCATTGCAAGGATTGGTACTAAAGCTAGCAAGTTCTGGTTTCCTCCATGCTCCATTTCTAAAAGAGTGATTTTTAATATGGGGAGTGGGGAAACACATTCCACCTTCAGACATTTTACTCAAATATTGTTAAATGGCCTATATGCCTTAGAAAGTGATTAAGACTTTATAACCAAATACTTACAATATCTTTCTAAAAGCACAGATACCTAAGCAAGCACAGTTCTGGAAGTAATATTTCTAATGAGAAGATATAGAATGCAATACATTTAAATATTGTTTGTTTTTAAATGTTTGAAAAAATATAGGTTATAGACATGCTTCCTACTCCTTCAGCTTTCTCTAACAAAAATCTCTGATATTAAGAGACGTTCCAGCTGGGATAGCCTTAGTATCTACTCTTGTGTTTGGAGGTTCCTGTGTCTTCATGAACTTATACTGGCATTCTTTGCTTTATAAAGTTAGACATACTTGGGTCCTGGTCCCATTCTTCCTTCCAACCAACAGACATACTTCATTAGGGTGCACTAGTCATTTTTGTATCATGATGATAAATACCTAAACTAGCCAACTTGTCTATAGAAAAGGTTATTTCTGTTCCCTTTCTTGGAAGTTCCACACCATGCCTTGGTTACCCTAGAGATTCAGGCCTGTGGTAAGATAGCACCCTAGACAGTAGTTCATAACAGAGTAAAGCCATTAATTTTACCACTAGCAGTGAAGAATATGAAGAGGGCATGAGGTTCCAAGACCCCATTTAAGGGCACAGCTACAAAAATCCAAAGACCACCAACTAGCCTGCATCCATGAAAGGACTGAGACCACATATTCAACACATAGGCCTTTGAGCAATGTTCAAGGTCTGGAGAATAGCAAGGACCTAGCACTACAAGGTTTCAGTTTCCTTGTGAACAAAATTAATGTTTGCTGCACAGCATTCCAAAGATAACTTTGATATGTGAGTGAAATGTATTTCCTCCCTCTCCCAGTGATCATGTCTCATTTATATCATGCTTCATTTGTTTCATGTGCCCCATCCCATTCTCCCTTTCATATTTGGGAAGAATCTAACAGTTATCCCAGAAAGCCAAATGGGTTGTAGATTCCAGATAATGTTCATAGCCATTTACTCAATGTAGCTTGAACATAAAGATAGTGATAAAAATGAAACTTGAGCCCTGACATAAGTGTAATGATACTAGAACTCCATAAAATAAGATATGGATCTAAAGTCATTAAAAATAGGGGGTGACATCTGACTTTTAGCTTTTCAAAACTAATTATAAACAATAGATGCACAAAACTGCACAAAAGCTGAATTTATAAAGAATCCAGATCATGTCATCAGAGCTTAGAATAAAAGAACTGAGAACAGACAGTAAGCAGAGTGACCACTCACTTCAAAAAGCTTTCCATCCAGAATGTAGACTTTACCTCACTTAGGTCTCTCAATATCTCCAAGTGGTAGAGCCTAATATTTCTGTTCTATAATTGATGTAACTAAGAATCTTGGAAACCTCTTGGAAATCTTAAAGTGATATAAATGCAAAGTACAGTGCAGAAGTTGCAATCCAGGAGTTAGATGTCAAGTTAGGTATTCCTACATCTGTCATTCCAGCTCCTTATAACTTTCAAAATCTACTGTTTTGACTTCCATTTGTCTAACCTGATTCTCAAACATGTCCTTTAATTTGGCTTTGAGATTTATGATTTTTCCATTCTCTAGCCTAAGACATTTGGGCATGAGTGATCTATGCAGCACAGGCAGAGACAGATCTTGCTTTGAAGGGCAGGGCAGAACTCCATACTGCAGACAGGTGCTTAGAAAACTACCACACTGACAGAAAAAAGAGCTCAAGATCTGAACTAAAGAAAAGAATGAACCAGAAGTTCAATAGGATTAACAGTCTTCCAGGAAGTACACTGCTGGACTCCATGAACACGTAGGAGGAAACCAAGACCTCTACCCTCAGAGATTGTGGCAGAGCCCCCAGCAGCTACTTATATTTAACTACAATAAAATGTTAGCCAGTCTTTTCATTCATTTTATGTCCAGTGAAGAAGAAACAAGTAGTTTTTCCCTTGTCATAGAGTATGATTTTGTCCCATTTCATCCATAATGCTTTATAAAAGTTTGCAAGCATTTAAAGTAAAATGGAACTATCTAGGTGGGAAGTTTTGGCTTGTATGTAAATGCTGAAGGTGGGTTGGCTGCAAGGGCTGTCCTTTTTAGCATACACATCTCAGGAACTTATGGCACTAAAGGACAAAGATGGGGGTTTCTCCTTGCTAGTCTCCGAAGAGCTACAAACCTGAGTCACAGTACTGTACATTAGACAGGAGGGTAAAATAAACCTGGTGAAGGATACTCCTGAGAGTTAGAAATGTTCCCTATGGATAGCTTACCTCAAGCCCATTCTACAGATTAGCTTTGCAAGTGAATAGAAACCATGGGTGCCTTTGTGACATGAAGGGATCAGAGGTATCTTTCTATATCAAGAACAAATATCATGGGGCAGATTTCCCAGGAGAATGTGACACTCATAGTTCTAGAAATGTGAAGTGCAATGCCAGAGGGGAGAATCTGACTTTGTGACCTAGCAGGGTCTTGGGACCTTTGATCATTTCTCTGTGCCTGCTGTGCTTGGGTGATATGTAGAAGAGACAATGACTGTATTGTTGGTATCTTTTGTTGGGTGGTGATATTGACCCATTTATTATTATTATTTCAATGTCATGGATGTTTCTTTAATGTGTACTTCATTATACCTTCAAGACAATAGCACAATAAATCTGGTAACCTTGTGTCTGGACACAACACCATTGGAGATTTACTTTTTTCTGTTACCTTTATCTCTCTTAGTCTTTCTCTCCAGTTTTGCTCCATGTTGAGCTCCACAGCTCTTTTCTCTCATTACTCATGCTTGTCTCCCCTCTCTTTATCTCTTCATTTTTCAACATGTTTTCAAAAGTCAACCCCTCGATCTGTAACATACTAAAATTTGATGACTGAGAACTGAGTCTAACTCACAGTATAAACTAAGGGAACACACAGAGGGAAAAAAAACTAGAAACCAGAGAAATCTCCACAGATGACAGAAAAGAGAGATCCTGATGGGAACTTGAGCTTGCCAGATGACAGAGACACAGAGACAAGTTCCATACCAAGTATCCCTTGCAGGAGGCACTGAAGAGATGGGTTTTCTGGGGAGTGATGTGAGACTGGATGGATGGGAAGAGTGGTGTTGGTTCAGAGAAGACCTATGACCCATTAATGATGAAACTATCTTATGCATTTACTGGTGACTTACAAAGTGATTGATAGATACTTGGATGGTGATGGTTAGATCACACACATTAAGCATTGAGTCACATAGCCCCATGACAAGGGCTCAGGGGATGTTGGCCTCCACTGCCATCATCATGTCAGCTGCTGCCCTTGTTATTATAACAACCTCCCACAGGCCCTGTCCTAACAACCTGTAGTAGAGTACCATAAGATATTAATGCCTCTAATTTTTCTGAAAGGAAAAGTCTGAGAAAAATTCTTAGAAATATTCCCCGTGTTTCATGAGGACTCTTGGAATCCACGTCTACTAGGTAAAGGAACTCAGTGCCATCTTCTTCCAAACATGCTCAAGGAGTCAAGTATTCTGTCAGAAAGATAGAGAGACTCATGGAATCCTGCCACCTTTTCCAAATAAAAGTTGGAAAGCATCCTGATCAGTGTGGCCAAGTCTGCATTATGGGTATAGAAAACATTTAACGCCATAAGCAAGGGAATGGTCCAGA